TGTGTGTGTGTGTGTGTGTGTGTGTGTGTGTGTGTGTGTGTGTGTGTGAACTGGACGATAGGGTTCAGGGTAGGGGAAATTCCCCAGAGCACTATGGGTGTATCCCCAACTATTTCTCCCTCTTTGTCCAGCTTCCAGGCATGGGTGTTCTTCCTCAACTAAAAGAGGCCCAGAGACAAGCTTTGGGGAGCCGCCTACCTGGAGCTGGCCCTTGCGGAGGAGCTCTGCTATGCCAAGACCACTCTTTCCCTTGAGGTTCCACATGTTGGATTCCCCCTTCCCAGATCCCGTCCTGCCCTTTTCCCATTCCGGCTCTCACTGGTGGGAGCATTTGATTCCTCCAGAGTCTTCATTAAATATCTATCCTTTTACTAACTTCCTAGAGCAGTGCGCGGTGGTGGAAAGGACCCTGGAAGCGTTGCAGTCTTTGCCACTTCCTCTCTAGATGACTTAGGGAAGGCACTCTGGGCTCTCCTTTCTTTATTGGTAAAATGAGAAAGTTGGCCCACAAAGCTTGCTTCTAGCTCTTATATTTTATGGTCCTTAAATATTCGTCAAAGAAGAACATTAGCTCTGTTCCCAAGTGTGAGTCAGCTCATGTCCATGACCATTAGCCTCTCCTGACTGGTGTAGCTCCTGCTGCTCTCTGGCTGTAGGGGGCGGCAGACTGTTACTTATGACTCTCTCCTGTGCCTTGGCTCGTGTGGCTTTATATCATACCTGGTTTAGGTCCCTGGGGATGATGAAATTCTTTGTGTTACAAATCTCCCACTCCCACCATGTCTATGTGAGTTGGGAGCCACACATAGACATGGAAACCATTCCTGCCATTTCACTCACTGTTGATGTGGGTCCCCCCTTGCCAAACTTAAAAATGTGTAGTTGGGTGGGCACCGAGTCTAAGCCTGGTGTGGTGCTGGACTTGGAGTCATGAAGACCTAGGTTCTAATTCCATTTCAGTTTCAAACCTGGATAAGTCACTTACCTTTTCTGGGCCTCAGTTTCCTCACCTGCAAAATGGAGTTGGACTAGATGGTCTCTAAGATCCTTTATAGGGAGTCTAGGTGGCACAATAGATAAAGCACTGGGCTTGGAATCAACAAGATTCATCTTCCTGAGTTCAAATCCAGCTTCAGATACTTCCTAGCTGTGTGACCCTGGGCAAGCCACTTAACCCTGTTTGCCTCAGTTTCCTCATCTGTAAAATGAACTGCAGAAGGAAATAGCAAACCATTTCAATATCTCTGCCAAGAAAACCTCAAACGGGGTCACGAAGAGTCAGACACAACTGAACAACACAAAGTCCTTTCTAGCTCCGTGTCTGTCGTCCTGTGGTTGTTAATTTTCCTCTTCATTTACTTTAGGCCCTGGCCAGAGGGCTATGGTTATCTCAGCCAGTCCACCCTGCGGGGTCATCCCTGGGGAGGATCATTCATAAAGGGTAAGCACAGGAAAATCAATCCCGCTGTGCTCAACTCCATCTCATCTTTATGTAGGTGAAATCGGATATAAATGAACTGACTTTGGTCCAGAAAAGGAGGGAAATGGATTTATCCAAGCGTTAAGACAAACAAATAAAAAAACATTAACCAGAGTGATATGTGGAGGAGCAGGGCCGGTCCCACCTGTTTTACCTTTCTAAGGATAGGGAAGATTAAGGACTGAAGTGGTATGGAGGCCAAGAGTAGCTCACATCATTTGTATAGCATTTTCCTTTGAACAACTCCATGAAATAGGTTGTGTATTACCCTCATTTTATAGACAAGGAAATCAAAGCACAGAATACTTAAGTGATTTGGGCAACTTCACATGGGAAAGAAGGAAGAAAACAAGCATTAAGTACCTACTATATGCATCTGTTCTGCTAAGTGATTGACAAATATCTCATTGTATCCTCACAACAGCCTTGGGAGGTAGGTTGTTACAGTCAGTAAGTGTTGGAGCCAGGATTAAAAGGCAAGTCTTTAAGGTCTAAATTCAGCATTTTTTCCATTGATACAACAGATACCCCTTGAGAGCCCTCAGTCAATGCACTTTTGAGCTCTAGTCGTGGGTGGGAACTATTGCTGTTAACATCTTCTTGGTTTCCACAGGTGTAAGGTCCTTTCCTCTTTGAGTTTCCAGTTCATCCCTTTTGTAACCTCCTGTTCTGATAGCCACCCATCTCACTTTATCCCCTAGAAATCAATAAGAGGGGGACAGCTAGGTGGTGCAGTGAATAGAGCACTGGCCCTGGATTCAAGAAGACCTGAGTTTAAATCCAGCCTCAGACACATAACACTTACTAGTTATGCGACCCTGGGCAAGTCACTTAACCCCATTGCCTAGCCAAAAAGCAACAACAAAAAAAGAAATCTACGAGAGGGTCAGACTTCGTGGCTTCCAAGGCATTTCCCATCTCTGGCTCCTGTGATCCTATGAGCAGGAGCACAATGTACCAATGTGCCTCGTATTTTTGATCAATATATCAGGCACCCCTCTCTCCCTTGGCCCTCTGTCTGTAGCTCCAACCCTTTCAAGGTGCCTCTCAGTTGTTCCTCATACCAACCCTTGACACCCAGATATACCATTCACCTTGTCCCCACTGAACACTCACTATACATATTTTCGTATTAAAAGCCAGCCCCAGTCTGGTCTTAGGAAATCCCCATTACCTTTTTTGGTTTTCTTTTTTACAGTATTTTAAAAATACTTGACTCCTCTCCTTACACTGTAAAATTGAAACCAACAGTCTCATCCCTTTAAGAGTCATTTCATACCCACAAGTCTGTGTAAGAGTGAGCATTGGCTTAGAAAGGAGCAGTGCTCAAAACTGTTCCTCTTCTATCTCCTACTCAGAATGGGGACCAGCCTGGGACAGAAAGAAGGGGGCTTTAGTCTCTGAAATGAGCATGGGAGGGAGGCTTCAGAAGCAGAGATAGGGCCAAGAAACCTAGTACCACCCAGGCTCCTAAAGGCTGAGGGATGATGGGGAGAAGGTAGGGTGAGTTGAGATACCTCAAATTCTTCCATTCTCCTAAAATTTTGTCTCTCAGTTGAAATACTTGGTTGGATTGTAGGAGGCTGTAGCATGGGCCAGTATCATATCACTATAGGATGGCTAATGTGTAGTAGTGGGCCACTAGGTGGTGCAATGGATAGAGCCCTGGGCCTGAAGTCAGAAACACCCAAGTTCAAATCACCCTGGGCAAGTGACTTAACCCTGTTTGCCTCAGTTTCCTCATCTGTAAAATGAGCTGGAGAAGGAAATGATAAACCACTCCAGTACCTTTGCTTAGAAAACCCCAAATGAGGTCATGAAGAGTCAGATATGACTGAACAAATGTGGAGTAGGGTCCCCACAGTGGTTGGGAGAAGATAACACCATCTCCAAGCTTGGGTTCATAGATATTTTGGCTACCTTGCTTGGGTGTGCCCCATTCCTCAAGGCATAGTCCATGGAATAAGCCATATTATGGCTAATCTCCTTGTAGGAATCCTATGCTTTTCAATGTAAAATCTCTCTTCAGCTTTTCTTCGGAACTCCCCATCACCCCATGTGAGTTTTTCCCACCACCCTGTCAAGATGCTGGTAGATACCCTGTTTTCCAGACCTAAGGCCCAATAAGCAGGCTGTGCCCTGAGCTTGGCACAACAACACTCCTTTATGCTCACCCGCTGGATGATGTCACTGCTCTGGCAAAATCTCACATAATTATTGTATTGCTTTGACCAGCACCAGGTGTTTTCTGAGCTCAGACAAGCACCTGCTGTCGCTGTATCCGCGTTCTGGTCATGAAGCCCTTCCATGATCTAATTGGTCGCTTCATCGCTGTTTGTTTGCTGCTACAGCTCACTGCCCAACCATTGATATAATTATTGAGCTCTCCCTGCCTTGGGTCCCCCCACCAGGGACAAGGCCACAGTACGGTCTAGGTCCCATCCTTGCTTGCAAGCCTGTTTCCCTCACTTTGAAATTAAATTCTGTTTGCTTCTGACGCTCCTGTCTCTAGCTTGCTTTACGGGGCTCCGGCCACCCACAGATTAGAGGCTGGTTTGGTCCAGTTGACAACCCATAAACACATTTCATTTCTTCTACTATCCCTCCTCCAGCTCTTAATTCCTCTCTAGCCTCCCTGCTGAGAGTAGGAGAGGATAATTTGGGTGTAGAATCCTCCCCCTCCGATATCACTTCTTTCTCTCCTCCTGCTCTTCCAACCCACAGGCCTGCATCACCCCACCCTTCGTTCCTCGGGTCCAGATAAGAAGAATGGGGAATTATCAGGGCACACCAGCATTTATAGGGCTGGCCACCCTGACCAGGCCCAGAAGACTATGTTCACGCCTACCTCCCTCCCAAGCAGAAGCTGAACAGGTGTTTGGGTCAAGGGAGAGCCTGAAACCCTTAATTTTACAGTGAGAGAAACTGTCTGCTTGGCCCCAGGAGTACAGATGCCTACAAACCCTATCTCCCTTTCCACTCCACCCCTTCCCCCACCCCCAATAGAGCCAGACCAACTTGGAAACCTTGGGAAGGATAGGGCCAACTGCAAGGCCTTTGGTGCCCTTCCTAGACGGCTGGGCCTCTTGTTTTGGGCTAGTTCTGATGCTCACTGTGACCTCTTGCAAGTCAGGACCTCTCCGAACTTGTTTTCTCCTCTACAAAACGAGAGAATTGAACTAAACAATCATATGAACGTACTGGGTCCCATGGCACATATGGTCCCCTGGGTATTTTGGTAGATCAGTCAAGGTAGGAGGTTTTCCATACAGGTAGGTACTTCCTTTCTCACATCATAGTGCTTTGAGTTGCCATTGGAAACCTCTTCTTTTCCCCACTACCCCTTAGCAGAAAGTCATTTGGGTATAAAAAGAATTTTGTTTTCCTCTCTCTCTTTTTTTTTTTTTTTTGAGGCAATCAGGGTTAAGTGACTTGCCCAGGGTCACACAGTTAGTAAGTGTCAGAGGTTGGATTTGAACTCAGGTCCTCCTGACTGCAGGGCTGGTGGTCTATCTACTGTGCCACCTAGCTGGCTCAGGGCTTTAATTTCTTAGTGAATACACTGAAATGGGGCAGCTGGAGCCGAAGGAAACCTTAGAGATTAGCTAGTCCAGGAGGTCTTAACCTTTCCACGGTCTGGTAAAGTCTATCGATCCCTTCTTAGAACAATGTTTTTAAATATTGAGGGAAATACTAAATTTCAGCTAGAGATGAGTGAAAATTAAAATCTTTTTTCTCCTTATCTAAGTTCATGGACCCCCTGAAATCTATCTGTGGACCTCTATCTGTAGGTCTCAGGTTCAGAATTCCTGATCGAGTCTAAACTTTCCATTTCACTGATGAAGAAACTGAGGTTTGGCAAAGTCACCCAGTCCCAATATCACCCAGAACTGGGATTCAAACTCAGGTTCTTGGTCTCCAAGTCCGTTACAGCTGGGGGCTGGGCAGGAGGGCACGGGAGGCAGTGTCCTAAGAGCCTGGGGTGAGGGAAGGACAGATGAGGGTCCTATGTCAGGGTTGCAGGCTTTGCATGCCTTTAGCTGCTCTTTGTTCTGTCCAACCATTCCCAGGGTCATTAGCTGCAAGGCAACAGTGGTGAGATAATAGTGAGACCATAGCACTGACCAGCTCCTGAGGTTTGAGGAATTGCTTATGTTCCCAGGCCTTCAGCACCAACCCCTCCCCTCCTCTGCCTTGTCTCCTATCTGATAGGGGGACCTCTTAGGAGACCTTAGCTAGGGGCAGCTAGCTGGCACAGTAGCTACAACACTAGGTCTGGAGTCAGAAGGACCTGAGTTCAAATCTGGTCTTAGACACTTACTAGCTATTTGACCCTGGGCAAGTCACTTAACCCTGATTGCCTTGAAAAGACACCTAAACTGATGAGCAGTAGCTCAGGCTTCCCAGGAAACTGGACCTGGGAAGATAAACAGCCAGAGGTTGACTCCAGGCCTGGTACGCTATCCACTGCACCACCTAACTGCCTCCTTTCTTAAGCCTAGAC